CTCTTGTGCAAAGCATGATGGGAAATGTAGTCCGGGGTGCTATGCAACAGTTTGTGTAGTGCGAGAGTCAATGTAAATGGAAAGGGTGACATCTGGTGGTGAATAAACAGAAGTCCATGGACTGAATTCGTGACACAGAACACAAAACTAATGGAAACAGCTTTTTAATCTATTTTTCAAAATAATACATTTATTGAAAATAATTGTGATTTGGAATTATTTTAGTGTGTTTTATGCTGCCTTCAAGTGTACCTGGGAATGCTTCTACAAATATGGAAATAGCAAAGTTAAAATAGACACTACCGTTCACACATTTTGGTCAGCAAGATGTTTTTAATGTATAGTATTGTACAGAAAAAAGTATCTTCTTCTCAACAAGGCTGCATTTATTTGAATACAAAAAAGAAGAAGAAGAAATATTATTACAATTTTAAAAAGTTTATTTTCAGCATTATTACTCCAGGTTTCATTGTCACATGATCCTTGAGAAATCATTCTATTATGTCGATTTGCTAATATGCTAATAGAAAATTCAAAAGAACAGCATTTATAGTAAATATATAAATATATGTAAATATATTTATAAGTAAATATAGTCACTTTTGATCCATTTAACGCATTATTGCTGAATAAATGTATTAATTTCTTTCAAAACAAATTTCTTGTGAACTTTTGAACGACAGTGTATTTCACTTTTTTCATTTGTAACAGTGGATAAGTGCAAGTGAATATATATTCTATCAATTTATACAATCTATATGATTTATCTATGCCTATTCTTTAGATTAATATTATTACACTGTAATTACAACATAAAAAAAATAATAATAAAAAATGTCAGATATCATTGAGAATACTAAGTTTCCTCCTGGTACTTTTTTGGTCAATCATGTGCACAAAGTCATGATATATTCAACTCTACTTGAACACTGTGTTTAGACTTGTGCCGGTATTCGGTAATGCGATATAGCACGGTAATGAATATGCACGATATTGTTATTGTGGGCACTTCTAAATACCGTGAATAATTATATATTACAAATTATTTAGAATTTTGAATGCATTTTAAGAATACTTTTCCCATCAACTGGTCAAATGCACAACGTATGCTGCGTGAAAGACGCGTGCGCACATTGTTATAAGAAAAATGTTATTAAACCTGTTATACTGTATTATGACAGCACTTTTTTAAAACAAAATGTCAACATCGTGATAATACCGTATACCGTGATAAAAGAAGCATTAGCAATTAATCGCAACATGAGAATTTGATACCGGCATATCCCTAACTGTGTTATTGTAGCACACCCATGCTAATAATATAATGATGATTACTTCATATAACACGCACAGAGAGATGAGTCCTTGCTTGACTAGAAATACAATTAAGATCTACATAATAATTCAATGTCACATAATTCACTTTGAAGTACTTGTAACACTTTAAAGCAACATTTCTATCACATTACGCTACATTAAGACACTTAACAGACACTTTTACTTAATGCAATTTAAGTCTTAAAGGAGGATCAGAATCAATTAGAAGAATCAACAAGGAGATCCTGTTTCTTCTTTAATGCATTCATGAAATGTTAGACATCCCTGAGCTACGGAGAAGATATTTGTTAGCTAGCTTGCATTTGCTTTAGATGCAAAAAAACTGCTTGTGTTAAATAACTCTAGTGGGATCTTTCAAAAGGGCACATGCTAATGTAGTCACTGACTCTAATACCTCATTTACAAAAGCACATAGTTCCACTGCAGTGAATTCAAAGCGGTGCTATAGAGAGCTGCTGAATATGTACAAGGAAAGTGAGCAGATGAAATTCACACTGGGGTTGGTGGTAGTCTGGTACGGCCATGCAACCGGCGGTAAATACTTGCTGAAAACACTGTGCTAACTAGTCATGCTTAATTGGGCGAATTTTCATCTATGTAGCAACATTCATAACACAGATTTAATTCTGTTGTCAAAACATTTATCTGGACGTCTCCCTTAATTCAGAGCTATTTGTTATTAAGACCCACAATATGATTTACTGGGTATTGCTGCACTGCAAAATGAATATAAAATGCAACATAATGAAAGCAGAGTGGATGTGCGTTGCTGTGAATGCCAAATGCAATGTAATGGAAGCAGTTAATTTGTGCCTTCCTAGTCTAACATGATACTTTGAATCTGTTTAACATGATATTTTATTCTAGAACAAGTCAATGTACAGATATATCTTGGGAAATGTCATATTAAATTCACATCATTATGAATTTTAATATCCTTTGTGCTTATCTCCGCCTGGACTCCTTTTTCTAGTGGATTTTTTACGTGTGCATCTGCACATGCTTTTTTCGGCTTGCAAGGAACAACATGGCCCACATCCAAGGGGGCAAATATTGTTGGTTGCATGATCCTGTTAGCCCCTGATAGTAGATGTGACACCATCTGCCTGCAAATAAACATGTTGCTTCACTGATGACAATTCAACATGATCTGTGTATTCTGGTGGAAAAAGGTTTGTGTAAACAACATATGAAGCGCAAATATTTCATTATATTAGACAGTGATGCACCGAAACTGCAGTAAACAAAAATTAGAGCGAAACAGCAATTTTTGGTTTTGGCTGAAATAGTTATGAAGGGCAGAAATCGTTGATTGAAACAGTGGAGTTTAACTAGCACTTCTTCGATGGCGAGTTTTGACTGTGTCATTGTCTATTTTGTGCATGCAATGCAGATAAACTACAACAGGTAAATATGTCACCTGTGTGGACGATAGTGCTAGATTAACAATATAGATTTTCCATTTTTAATTGATAATGATATGGATTATTAAATCTCAAGATCAAACTTTCTTTCTTTGCTGTTTTCTGTTGATGCGTGAACTTTACTAAACATTATTTGTAGTGCATCTGCCATCCAATAATCTCAATAAGATTTGTGCATTTATACTTTTAATATAAAATAATGTCAGCTTTACTGTAGCTATACTGTAGCACAAAATGAGCATGAATGAACATCAGAAGTTCTGTTGAAAGAGTACAACTTACAGAAATGTATCATGTCTCAAGTAATCTCTCAAGCAGTGTCAGGAAGTCAATAAATCAGTTTGTAAACAATGTCAAGTAATGTTGTTTTTATCTCAGGAAAGCCATTCAATGAGCATTTTGCTACTTTGTTACATATTCATTATATTTTACTTAACCTGTTGTCTTGTTTTGAACAAATGTTTGAATAAATCTGTCATGAAAACAAGTTTTTAATACAGCCACCATTTAAATATTTATATTTCAACAACAAATTAGAGTACAAATTAAATTCTGTTGGCAAAATATTGACCAAAACCAAAAAAAAAAAAAAACACTTATGTGCAATTTAAATGTTTATACAACTTCAGTTGTGGTTTTTGGTTTAATGAAAACTTTAATTTTGGCCTACCGAAACCTTTAATTTACAGGTGTTAAATCAATTTCGGTGCATCGCTAACAGTAGACATCTTACTACTTACTACTATCTACTGAAAGGGTGAAATGGATTTATATTTGCATTTTTATTTTTCCCCGTCTGCTGCATTTGACATCACATCACAGATTAAGGTAATGAAGATGCTAATGCTAGAGGCTATTTGAAAAAATAGAATAAAAGGGAATCTGAGGTATCAAGGCACAATTGATGAGGTCTCAAATCTGCTGTACTGTCTAACTACATTCACATAAGCAGTGAAGCACACTTTTAGTTTGTGATTTACTAAAGATTTGTGCATATAAAACACGTGCAAACCAGATGGCACATGCAAAAAAAAAACAAAAAAAAATCTGCTGTGTCTACTGAGGATTCTGAATTCCAGATATAGCACCAGATGATAGCGCCTCTTGTCTGTTTTCACAGATTTTTCTTGATGAATATGTCATTTGGGGGCGTGCAAAATGAAGGGTAGCTTCAATGCAAATGAATTAAATAGAACTTGCAAAGTGATTTATCACCCATGAAAACTTCAGAAAAGGTAACTGTGTGCAAATTAATACCACATTATATTAAGAGCACAAAATCTGAATGTAACATATGTTGTCATATTCAAACTTAGAACACATAAAACACATACTACTCTGCAAGACAGTACCTCTCCAGGTGCCGCAACTAAATTACAAGTGTATTTAAAAATACAAAATGAAAACTTTTTTGCACCATCGAAACAAACCACAACATAAAACTGAAATTGAAAACCTAAATATACAAAATGAAACAAGTGCATGTGTGGTTATTTGTGTTATTCTATACCTATAATGCACACAGACAATTTGATAGACTGCACAAGCCAATTAGTACATTTTATTTGGGATCTTGGTAAATCAGGGCCTTAATGAGTAATATAATGCTCAGCCTTTCGTTTCTCTTTCAAGATGGGAGCTACAGGTTTGCTTCTGTTCTAGAATGAGAGTTATTTCTGCTGAGGCAGCAGGCTTTTATTTACTGATGTATTACAAAGCTGGTTTATCAGCTGCTGTGTTTTATTGAAGTTTAAATTAGCAGGAGATGGGCTTCGATGAGGACTGTTGTACCAATTCAACCGATTTGCTCGTGATAATTTAAAAAACACACTGACTAGCCTATATCTGATGCCAAATGGTTAATTCGAACATAATGAAAACCAAAATAACCTTACGCAAAGTGAGCCAGACGATTAGAGGTTGTCTTGTTATGATCATCACACTGACACCATTAAATGTCTTCATTGCATTATAAAAACTAAAGTTACATTGGTTTGGAATAACCAAGGAGTAAATATAAACAGATTTGTTGATTTTGGGTGAATTAATCCTCAAAAAAAAAAAAACTGCATCCAGACTGCTGAGGCTCAATTTTGCAACTGTCTCCAAATTCAGATCCGTTTAAGTGAGCAAAGGAATGATGATGAATTACATTTTTAAAGATTACAATAACAAGTTTATGGCAGTATAAAAATCAGTGTCAATAACAATAAAGTTTTTATCCTCAAACCCGCTCACCCTGAGTTTCCAGGTTTTCACACAGCTCAGACTTGGCTTCTCCGTTGGGCCGCAGGCTGGCCTTGGGGTTGAACTTGTTAGACATGGTGGCGGCAGTGACCACAGCTTTCAGGCTGCGAGTGCTGCGTTTGGTCACATTCTGCTCCGGATGGAAGAGCACCACATAGACTTTTGGCATGTAGAGCATCCCCAGAGACACAGACGCGCTCAGACTCACTGAGATGGTCAGTGTGGTTGTTTGTATGTACATCTATGAAACAAAATCACAGCACATTAAAATTATAAATCACTGAAAACAAAGCAATTACTACACACCATACTGGGTCGTAATTGGCCAATCACTGCTTTCTGTGGCCAAATATTTTAGTATAATGAAACCGTATATTTTGCTGTTGCCCTGGGCAACCAATACCCAGCAGCTTGCTAGTTCTATATCACGCCACAGTCTATTTCTTCCCACATAATCAAATAATTTTCACTGAAATGAATATTTTAAGTCCATTTATTTACTTATTTGGTAGGTAAGGAATAATGCAAGGGATAATACAGGTCATTATCACAAACTAAAGCCCTTCAGGATGACACAATAGCCTTCTGCTTCACAGCGGGGTCCTATTGGGGGTGTATTATGCAATAATGAAGACTTGTTCACATGACCTGGGACATTCGTCTTCACGAGGGCTTGCTGACATAATAAACCCCTGCTCTAACTGACACAGTCAATATGTCAAATCTCAAAAGAGAGTCATAACCTCGTGACTCAACATGCCCAAAGCACCAAACACCATCACCACATTCAAATATGCGTAATTCTCGACTACATAATATGCAAATGACTAGAATGTCAGAATACACAGAATTCATGATATAATTGGCAGATGACGTACAGCATTTGCTGAGATTATGAAATGTGTGAACCATTATAGTTAACTAAAACAAAAATTACATTAATTTTTTAAGCTAGTTGTCAAAGTAACATTTCTTATTTTCATTTAGTTTAAGTACTAAAATAACTAAAACTAAATAAAACTAATAGATAAAAGTTAATAAAAAATATATGGACATATTTAAAAAATAATAATAATGACAAAAACAAATGACAAAATACTAAAACTTTAACAGAAAATATAAAAATAAAATCTAATTCAAAATATAAAAAAAAAAACTATAACAGTATACATCAATAATACAGCATACCACTGATGCAACCAACTGACTCTTTGCTATCCCAATAGGCCTTGGGAGATGAAGGGTGGGATACAAGGAAACTGAGGAGTACTATAGGTAACGAGAAAGATGTTCCTTGGATTTAATTGTACTGTACTTGATTGTAGCGACAAGTAATTTTTTTGCCCACACTTCAAGTGAAAAAACTGCAAGATCAATGCTTGTGGAACTACATTTGTCATAATAGACTTTACATACTTATCACATAATGCTCAATGTTTTTCAACTTCTACAATTAATGCCATTTTGTCCATGTTTTATGTTTAATAGAGGGCTACAAAAGGAAAATGAATAGAAAAATAATAGTTTTAGAATTTGAAAAATTTTAAAACGTTATGTTGAGCAAATATTATGTGAAATATTTATTGAAAAATAAAGATTTATTTAATTCATAATACAAAAATGGTATTACATAAATAATAATATTATAAATCATATAAGTAATACAATTAATACAATTCTAATAAATTATTAATCATTAAATTTATATATGTATGTATATATATATATATATATATATATATATATACATATATAAATTTAATGATTAA